GAGAGAGAGAGAGAGAGAGAGAGAGAGAGAGAGAGAGAGAGAGAGAGAGAGAGAGAGAGAGAGAGAGAGAGAGAGAGAGAGATCAGGGCTTGGGCACTGCTGTTACAAAATCAGCCATCACAATTACTTGCAAAATATAAACATACAATGGAATGAAAACCAAATCGTACCAAGATACCAAGACAACGGCGCCGCAGCTCGCAACACACAAGGTGTGGATCCCACCCCAGCAACTCAAAACGCAAGAGTGCACGGACATGTCGTATAAAAATTGTGCCGCATCGGCAGCGAAATCGCAACAACTGCCTCCTTCTAAAAAAATATATACATCTATATATGTATTATACACACAAATGTATATACATACATAGACGAATACGTCGTCGAACAGAAACCATATACGCAGGAGCGATGAACTAAACTGTGCCGAATGACTGCCATCACTGCAGCATAAACGCAAAGCAAGTGACGGGTACAACGCCTGTGGAGGCACGGACAGGACGGCCAACCGCAGGAAAATATCGGCAGATGCAGGAGCAGAGGCCGCATCAGGACCTGTCGCTGATGGCTTTGACGATCTTCAGCAACGCGGTGCACATCATCCCGTTCGCCTCATCGGACGCCTCGTAATGTCATTGCTGGGCATCAGCCTCACACTCAAGTATGTCGCACCGCAGCTCCAGAATAAAACACTGTTGCTTGCTGGCCCGTCGTAGGTGTCAGCCATCAATGCGCCGTGTTTCTCCATAACTTCAGCGATGGTGTCGAATGTCTGTTGGCGCATGGTCTTCCTCTTGCAGTTCCCTCCCGTGCTGCTTGCACTGAACCCGGACTACCACATCGAGCCTCCGTCGTCGTCGTTCTCATCAGCCCCGGTGGCGGATTCTCCAACAACTGATGGGGAACGTGGCATTTGCACTCCTTCACAAGTGCTCATGTCGGCGGTGTTGTCCAGGTAGATGGTCTTGTTGCCCTTCAACATGGTGTCCATCTCATCGTATACACGCTCGTCCATTCTGAAGTTGAAGCCTTCTTCCGTTCTCAGCGCATTTGTCAGGCTGAAGAAGTTCTTCCCCCCATAGGCGTTCTAATATGGTTGCACTTTCTTGTACTGCTGGAAGAGGTTGTCCCACTTCTTGCCGATGTCGTCAGTCGTCTTGTTCACCCCCACCTCCGACAAATGCTTTTGCGGGTCCTGCAGGTTCCATTCTCTCTTATGCATCCGTCCGTAGTTGTGTGGCATGCCCTTGAAACGAGTTTGCTGATCCCTCTTCGCTTGGGCGAGCTTAACCACCTCCTCAACACTCCAGGACGACACTAGTGGTTAATGGAAGGCCAAAAATTCGGGGTTTTTCGCCGCATCGCTACAAGCAATGTTGTCGAAACTTTTGCGAACAAACTATGCAGGGTCATAATACAAACATAAAAAAAATAATCAGGCAAAAAAAAAACAAAAAAATAAAAATCAAGAGCACTATAAATCCCTATTCGGAGTAGCTTTCGGAGTTCGTCAAAGCTTTTTTCGAGTCTGGTGTTTTTGCTAAGTTTTTTGTTATTGCTTCAAATACGACGAAACTGAATACAGATATACCCTAAAACACATTATAACAGGCAAAAAGAAAAACTGAGAAAAGAATAAAAGATTTTCGTTTTTTTTTTGCCTGATTGTTTTTTTGATGTTTGTATTATGACCCTGCATAGTTTGTTCGCAAAAGTTTCGACAACATTGCTTGTAGCGACGTGGCGAAAACCCCCGAATTTTTGGCCTTCCATTAACCACTACTGTCGTCCTGAGTCTGGTGTTTTTGCTAAGTTTGTTATTGCTTCAAATACGGCGACCTGAATACAGATATACCCTAAAACACATATATGACAGGCAAAAAGAAAAATTCTCAGTTTTTCTTTTATATATGTGTTTTAGGGTATATCTGTATTCAGTTTTGCCGTATTTGAAGCAATAACAAAAAACTTAGCAAAAACACCAGACTCGAAAAAAACTTTGGCGAACTTCGAAAGCTACTCCGAATAGGGATTTATAGCAGAGGTGGCAACTGGATAACCGTTGCCCGTACCTGACCGTACCCAACTATAACCGGCAGGTTATGGGCAGGTATGGGTACCATTCCGGAGAGGGGCATCCGTATGGGCAGGTATAAATTTGATTTGTGGATTTCAGGGCAGGCACGGTTGCACTGCATGGAGATTACGGGCAGGCATGGTCGGGTCCTGGCGGTGAAAAGGGAAAAACCGCAGGTATGGGCGGCCAAGAAAAACAAAAGCATGCGTAGAGACGTTATAGGGTGGTGAAAAAAAAAATCAGATGGGTATGGGCGGGTAAGCAATTCAGTCGGGTAACTGTACATAATATCTACCTTCCCCCCCCTTCCCCCCCTTCCCTCCCTTTCCCCCTTTTCCCCCCTTTCCCCCCCCCCGTTCCCTTCTTCCTAGAAAATATGCAGACCGACAAGGCTGTTTTTTTCTTAGGCACAATATGTTTTCCTGGCGCGAATGGCGAAAAAAATATTTCAGGAAATAGCCTCCCAACTTCGAAATTGGCCACTTTCGAAATTGGAAGGCTCCAGCCTCGCCTCAGGGAGTTCCCCCTTGGAAATTGGCCACCCGTCATGGTTGTACCCCCCGCCCTTCTGTGTGCTTGCCACTGCACGGACATCGTCCGACCGTCGTGGTTGTACCCGTTGCCGTTCTGTGTGT